AAGTTGGATCAAACATTCTATAAGCTTTCGAGCCAGGTTTCGTACCAAGATGCACCAAGGTTCTTGATCTATCATCAAGTTTCCGCAGATGGTGAGTATCATCAATCTTTGTATATACAATGCATCCAAATACTCGTAGATACTTAACATTTGGTTTTCTTCCTTTCAAAGCTTCATAGGGTGTTTGTGCTTCCAAGGTTCTTGTCCCTACCCTGTTGATAAGATACGTAGCGTGTCTTATTGCTTCTCCCCATAGATAGTTTGGTACTTCCATATGCTTGAGAATGCTCCTCTTCATCTCCTTCAATGTTCTATTTCTCCTCTCCACCACACCGTTCTGTTGTGGTGTGTAAGGAGCTGTCAAGTGTCTTTGAATTCCTGATTCTTCACAAAACTTGTGAAACTCTGTTGAGGTAAACTCACCTCCTCTATCTGTACGCAATGTCTTGATTTTCTTTTTCACTTGTAGCTCTACCGTTGCTTTAAACACTTTGAACTTCTCAAGCGCATCACCTTTTTCTTTTAGGAGTATTGTCCACATGTATCTTGTGTGATCATCTATTAGAACAAATATATATATGTTCTTTGCTGGTGTTGTAGGTGTAATCGGACCACATAAGTCACCGTGGATCAGTTCTAATGGTTCCTCTGCTCGAAACAAGGTTGCTTTTGGAAAAGCTTGTCTAGCGTGCTTCCCAAGTAAGCAAGCTTCACATGTCTCCTTTTCAACACTAATATTGGGAATGCCAAGTACGAGTTCCTTCTTCACCATCTGTTTCATTTTCTCGGTTCCAATGTGACCAAGCCTTGCATGCCACCTTACTGACTCATTAGTAATGCCAAGTTTCAAGCACTTCTCATTAACTATGTCCATAAAGACCTTATATAACCTGTTTCTCGATCGGTTTGCTCGAGCAACCAGCTTCCCATCCTTGTCATGTAGGGTGAGCACATCACCTTTCATGTTTACCTCACATCCAGACTCAGTAGCTTGACCTAAGCTAATGATGTTGCTTCTCAAATCTGGTATAAAGTACACATCGGCAAGTAGTTTCTTTTCACCATCTTGGCTGATGAATAAGATAGACCCTTTTCCTTTAATGTCGATTCTTGAATCATCACCGAATCTAACTTTTCCTGTTATTGTCTCATCAATTTGTTTGAAGTAGTTTAGGTTACCCGTCATATGATTGCTAACTCCATTATCTAGGTACCAGATTCTATCTCCATCCATACTTGACTCAAATTCTTTAGGCTTCACATTCTTCTCATTAAGGTGTACTACCTCATGCATCATTAAACCTTCTGCCTCATGTGTGTCATCCTCTCTTTCTTCTTGTGTTATTTGTAGCTTCAACAAGCGATCTGGACATGTTGCAGCAAAATGTCCAACCTTATCACATCTGAAACAAACAACTCTGGATGCATCTCTGCTATCCCATAGGAGGATCGACCCCGTCCTCGTCCTCTGTTGTTGTATCTTCCTCCTCGACCTCTACCTCTGTTTTCTCCTTGATACTCACAGTTTGATTGACTCTCCATGTTAGCATACATAAGTTTGTTTTGTTCTTGCGCATGTGTTTCTGCCTCTGCTGCATTTATTCTTTCCTCATATGCCTTTAACCGTCCCACCATATCCTCAAAGTTACAAGTGTCTAGGTCAAGAAGTTGTTCTATAGATGCAAATATGTGAACATATTTCTTGGTTGGTAGAGCCCCAAGGAACTTCTTAACTAATGTCGCTTCATCAATGATTTTTCCTAATGCAGCAGATTTAGAACTAATCTCGAATAGTTTTCCAACAAACTCATCAATAGTCTCATTATCTTTCATCTTGAGTCGATCAAGATCAGTAACTAGGGTTTGCAATCTCGCTACTCTCACCCTATCAGCTCCAACGTGTCAAATTTTAAGCATCCCATATCTTTTTTGCAGTGTCTAGTCCTCCTACTTGGAGTATCAAGGCCACTGGAATAGCAGGATACATAAGTGCAGTAGCTTTAATGTTCTTCTCTACGTCGGTTGTTTCAGATTCAACAGCCTCCCAAACCTTGTGAAGTTTAAGAATTATCTTCATCCTTATTTCCCACACCGTATAATTAGTTGTAGTCAACATAGGACACTTTATCGAAGAAGAACTTTCTTCCTTTGGATTGTCGGTTGCTGTGATAATATCTCCCATGGTTCTCGATTATCTTTGCTCTGATACCAAATACAGTTTTAAGATCGAACAAAGACTCAAAATAAAGAACTCTCTTTATTAATCTCTCTTAAGGAAATACTCAAAAACCTTAAGCTCTTTGACACAAACTCTAAAATCTCTTATGGTATGCAACACTCTTGCAACTCATTATATAGTTGATATAATTCCTAAACTCATAGGAACTATGTTTTCCTAATCCTAATACTCTTAGGATTAATGTAACTTGCCGTCTAAGTTAACTACAATATTAACTCCAACAGCCTCTAATGCTTGATATGGCCCAAAAAAGTCATTTTATCTCATCATGAACAGCCGAGAGATTTATACAACATGTTTGTATCCCAAAATACTTAATCCCTACTTGATCACAAAGGCACCACCCTAAGCCACTTACCAATTCATGATCGATCCAAAATGCATCGGTTTGATAAGTCAGAATCAGGTATCCATGGGAAGGGTTGAATCGACACCTAACACTATCGAATCTCATGTGTCTTCTGAAGCAGCTAAATGAAAGGTATCAAATGGTGAGATATATTTTCAGTTAAACATTTTGTCATTTCTTTCTTTCCAAACGTATCAAATAATTTATGTAAAGATGTTGAAATTGTGGTTCCATATGAACCACTTCTTTTTTCCTCAAAACAAAAACAAAAAAACTCTATGTTTTGATATAAAGATGTTTTCAATACATAGTTCGATAAAGCTCAAGCCTGAAGGGATCACTCCATCCATTTATCTAAACTTAGATTAAAATTTTAGGGAAAAAATAAAATGAAGATGCTCTCACATTTAACTTTTAGAACTATGAAAAAAAAACTGAGTTGTAATCGAATTTCATTAGATCCAGTTCTATTTTCCAGTAAGGTTTTCTATAAAAAGAATTCTGAAATTCTGTCTACTTTTAATTTTATTTTCTTTCTCAATTGGATTTTCATCTTACACTTCAAACATCATAGAAATGAACAGTTTCTTTTGGAGGTGGAGGGGGTGGTCAGAGAACTGAATAAGTTAACTCTACAAGTTTCATTGATGAATTATGAAAATAGCAATATGATAATCAGCTCTTTTGTCGATCATTTATCATACAGTTTTAGAATTATGGCTTTCTTTAACCGAACTACAAAATCTTTACAATTCTAGTAAAGGATATTTAAAAAATAATAATCTTATTTTTCTCTTTTAGCAACTATACAAGTTCTTGTTGACAAGAAAGAGCAACTATACAAGTACTTGCTTACAATGGAAAAAGTGTAGGACAATAGGATCGTCTTGGTCTTATTAAAACGCCCAAGTTGGGAAATTTCTAGGAAAAGCCATTTAACTGTGGTCCAACATTGTAATAATTAATTTATCCCGCTGGATTGGTACCATGTTGGCAGCTTAATTTAGCTAGACAAACGATTATCTTGACTTTATGTAATGCAAGTTGGTATTAAATTATTAATCCTTTTTTTCGCAACTTGGTATTAATCCATTTCTAAATTATTACTTTTAAGTTTTCTAGACAATTATCATATTTTTATTTGGGTGTGTGTGTGTCACATAACTCATAAGTAAAGTTAGTAAAAAAAAAACTCATACTAAAGAACGCTTTTTCCACGTAAGGCCCAAAAAGCAGAAAGTTCCCAGTAGTAAATCTCCAGGATTAACAACGGAAAAAAAACCTATACCTATCCAAATAATTTCAATCGTGCCAAATATAACCCGAACAAACTGTCAATGCCAAATACGATCTAAACTATATTATAATTTAAAAAAACTACCTGGACTTTTTAAAACGTGTATAAACGAACATTGAACGTAACAGAAGTTAGTCAACTGTTAAAACCATTAAAATAATAAAACAACGTCATTTTGGTTTCACTATTTTTTTTAAAAAAATGCACATTCCGGGATTCAAAACCCTGCCTTGTCATTCTTAAAAAACAGACACATCAACCTAGACTAAAGCATTATTTTAAAATAATACTACAAATTTACAATTATATGCTACTATCCTTTTTCATCTTCTCTAATTAAAAATTTGGTTACTATTATTTTTTATTCTTATAAATATGTTAACATATTTTTAATTATTATATCTTTAATAAAATTATATTATACTAAAATATAAATAATAAAATATTTATAATTATACAAAATTAAATATATTCATGTTTCGCAACTATTTAAAAAATGTCCATATGTAAATTATTTTAAAATTTTAAAACTTGAATGTTAATTTCTTTTGTCTCAAAATTAATATAAGTTGAATATACTTTATCAAAATAAAAGAAATTACCTTCAAGTTTTAAATTTTTAAAATAATTTATTTATGGGAATTTTATAAATAGTTGCAAAACATGAAACATATTTAATTTTGTATAATTATAAATATTTTATTATTTATAGTTTAATATAATATAAATTTATTAAAGATATAATAATAATTAAAAGATGTTAATATATTTATAAGAATCAAAAATAATAATAACCAAATTTTTAATTAGAGAAGATGAAAAAGTATAGTAACATATATAATTGTAAATTTGAATTTTTATTTTAAAACATTGCTTTAGTCTGGTGGTTGATGTATCTTTTTAAAGAATGACAAGGTAAGGATTCAAATCCCGGAATGTGCATATTTTTTAAAAAAAAATTGAAACCAAAACGATGTTGTTTTATCATTTTAACGGTTGACTAACTTATGTTACGGTCAATGTTTGTTTAGGCACATTCTAAAATGTTCAAGTAGTTTTTATGAATTAAAATATTGTTAAGGTTGTATTTGGCACTGACAATTTATTCGGGTTGTATTTGGCACGATTGAAATTATTTGGGTAGGAATAGACACTTTTCCGATTAACAACAACAAAAAAAAACAAAATTGTACATATCTCTCATGCAAAAAAAAAAGGTCATCTCTAGTGAATCTCATTTGTCAAAAATTTACATTTCTATTTGATGAAAAATAACGTTCTCCAGTCCTCACTGGTTCTATCAGCAAAAAGGCTGTTAAAGTCCCTAAAACGTAAGCTGAAAGAATCAGAACATGCGTAAGTGTGTGTGAATCTTTTGAGCCTTTTATACAGGAGCGTTTGATATGAAAAGAAAACTCATATCTTTGTGCGTTTTAGCTGTGAGTAGATATCATTAGCTTCTAGCTCTCTTTTGTGCATAATGTTCTTGAAAACTCTTTCCTCAGCTTTCAGTAAAGAATCTCTTAATCTTTTCACATCTGACAATTTCACAGGCTTCAATAAGAAATCTTCAGCACCTTCTTCAAGACATCTGAATCCACAAATAGAGAATCAAATATTAGTGATCTATTTCCACAAAGATGATAGCTTTGGATCCACGAAATGGCCAGCTCACAGTAATAGTAAGCAATCACATTATTAGACTTAATTTTTGGTAAATGATGGTTCCTTAATAATATAAGCAAAAAGCATGTGGGGTGTCTATCACGAGGATGACATTTATAAATGACCCTACCAAAAATTATGAAAACATATCAAAAGCATATTGCTTAATTTATACAGTTTTTGGTGTTATTAACACATCAACAGAATCAAATCTCAAGGAAGATATTGCTTAACTTATGATGGATTATTCTTCACTTATTTCGTGGACCTAACATCCTCTAAAAACATTTATTAAAGGACCCACGAAAGTAACACCAAATCTTAGCTTGATCACCACCACAGTTGCCCATGATGGTTAAATAACTCATATAGCCATACTTTTATCATTCAAATATCTGATATGATTATAAACAATTTAATTTGGTCAATGCATATCCGCTAACTGTATTTTTTTTTTAAACTCCTAACTATAGTAGTTTGATTGCTTAACAGTTACCCCAAACAAAACCCTTTTAATCATCCGAATCTCCTGACGTAATGAATGCATAGAATCTAAGAAAATTACTATAACTGGTAACACAAATCTTACGTGATCTTGGAACTTAAACAAGGATTTTGATTAAAATAATAGGAAAACAGAACATACCTATCAATACGAGGCAAGATGTTCTCTGATGACATAATCACAACTGGAATTTCTTTGAAAGCTGATGATTCCTATAAAATTCAAATTTCATAAAACGAATTAGATCAAAACTTTCATTGTATTTGGTAAAATGAGATCGATTGAATGAACAAATTAGATAAACATACTTTGATCTTCTTGAGTAGTTCATATCCGGTCATCCCAGGCATAGAATAATCAGTCATTATCAGATTAATCTTCAGATCCTGAAAAAAAATTCAATAAAAATCTTTAATACCAATTAGTTTGAACAGATTCCCAAGCGCTATGATCATATATATATATATTCAGATCTATTACCTCAAATCCAACCGAGTTATTGTCTCCATCTAATCCAAGGTATTGCAAAGCTCTTGTCGCGCTATCAACAACAGTAACTGAGAAACTCAAACAAAAAAACAAACTGTCAGATTTGGAACATCAAACATATTCCACAAAATGAAAACGTTGAACCGGAACATGGCGTTTACCTTTACATGAAGAGACTCTGAGTAGCCTTTCAATGAACTTACGATCGACGATGCTATCGTCAACAGCGAGAACATGAAGAAGCTCTGGAGATGCTAATGAAGAAGTGTTGTTGGATATGTTTAACGTCTCAGAACGCATAACCTCCGCCATATTAACAAGATCTTGAAACGAAGGGTGATAGAGAGAGAATATGAGTGTAGATATGATTTTGCAAAGGGGATGAAGTGGAGATTAGGAATTTATAAGGAAGAGTGGAAAAAGAAAAGGAGAGGGAAAAATATGATATCGAAATAGAGATCTTTGCAAATCTTTGAGATTTTGCATGTACGTAACAAAATTATTGTTTATTCTGTTTCCAAAGAGTCATGTTCAAATCTGGCAAAATCATATAAAAATTAAATCATTTGTAATAAAGTTTTCGAGGGAAAAATCAAAAGTGATCGAGTTTTTTATACTATTTTTTTCTAAGAATGGTCAAATAATATCCTGAGGGTGGTGAAAATAATCTTTGGATATTCTGGAAGGGCAGAAAGAAAAGTAGATCGAATTGGAAATCGTATCAGGACGATCTCTCTCGATTATTGCTCGGATCATGGAACTTTGATTTTGTATTTGTACATTTCGATAAGTTCTTATTTTTCTTCATGTTCCATTTAAACGCACTGTACTAAAATAGAATATTTTCATAAAAATACATGTAAAGTAGACTTCTAATGCAAAGACGAAATCATCTTATTATAATCTTTTGCCACTAAGTTTCTAAGCAAAGCAATCCTGTTTTCTTTTTTTTTTGATTAATGTCTAATTATTTCAAGGATTTTATTATTTAACTAATAACGTTGTCTTAATGAATCAAATCAATGATTAAGAAGTTTAGTCAAAATTATAGTCTGTTAATTAGTTAATGGTCTTCTAATTTGAATTCAAATTCGACGTTATTCAATCAATTATCACTTATAAACACACAAATTATAGAATTAAACGTACACTATTATTTGATATCTATAGTAAATTCATGTAAATGGTGAAATGCGAGGTATTACTGATGGAAAAATAGAAGATCATTTTGCCCCACACAAAATGACATAAAATGGCTAGGACTGCTATGAACACCAAGGGAATGGCATGCTATCTAAAAAAGGTAGAAAGTTTAACAGACATTCTTTGGGTTAAAGTGTACATGATCGATAAATAATTTGGCTAGAGCATGCTTTGCAAGTGCATTGGCTAAACTAGGTATCCGTAGCCCTGAGACTTTTTATCCGAGATTCGGATTCGATACGAGTCCAAAAATTCGGATATCAATAGGACTGGATACGGAGAGTAAAATGTTGTCCATCGAAATCAAATCCGGATCTATATATCTTGATTTTTAGCTTGAATATCCGGATTCGTAATTTTAGTGATAATTATTTCAAACTAACAATATATATATATATAAGTTGTTCATTTATTATATTTTAATTTCTATATATATATATATAAATTTAGTAATAGTATGCATAAAAAAAATTAAAAACATTATAGATACCTTTATTTTAAACTATTGTTACTCTTTTAAAATTATTTTTTATTTATTTTCAGGTTCCAAAGCCAGATCCGGATATTCGAGAACCCCATATATTACAAGTTTTAGAAAGATATCCGACACCTGGATATCCGAGAATCCCGGATCCAAATAAAAAAGTAAAAACATGGATCTATCGAATAAGGATCCAGATACATTAAAATACCTCAGATATTTTATCTGTCTCAGGCTTAGATATCCACATCTGAAAAAACCGAACCGACCAAATATCTAAACCATAATTGAAAATTATATTTGAATTTTTGGATTTTTTTACATAATTTAATTGGAAATCTTAACCAAATTATAATCAAAATTTATTAATGAGACCTAATCTTTAGTTCAGAAGATTTTCCAAGATCCAAACCGAACCTGAATGCCCAGTCCTAGGCTAAACAGTTTGCCGTGCATAGAATAAAATTAATAGATAGAATCTCATGTTTAGTTCTGACCCTGAGCGTATGGGAGAGATTAAGGACGTTGGAGTCTGAAAGTTTTTGTAGATTTGAGAATCCAACCATCTTTTCTGATCGAAGAGCTTTCGTAGTGCCAAAACTTCGACTACAAAAACAAAGCTTTGAAACACAGAGGATTCATCGATTCCTTGGACAACCCATCAAAAATTTCCACATTTTATTGTATCCACATTCAATCTATCGAACAAGTCAGAAAATTCCTAGCATAAGTAGCCATGCGAGATTTAGTCAAGAGAAAAAGGTTTTTGATGACAAAAATAGCTGTTTTCCAATCTTTTGCATCTACCAGGCGTCTTTGTAGTTACTTCTATAACAGACAAGAGCTTATTTTCAATTTTTGATTGGTTTCCAACTATCCAAAGATTCCAAATGATCCAAGAAGAGAATTGAGAGAAGTGGTTAAGCTAAATACCTAAGAGCATCTCCAACCACACTCTTTATTTTAAAGAAGGAACCTACTAAAAATAAAGGGATAAAGGAATAGGTCTCCAACCATGGCCTTCAAAAATTTTCTCTCGAAACTTTATATATTATATTTTAGTCCTCAATATTATTAATAATTAACTATAATCACTAAAATTCTACAAAGAAGCGATAAATATACATTTCCAACAATCCCGTTCTTATTATTTGAGGAGAACTTTTGAAAATAAACCTTTACTTCATGTGTTTATTACAACCATGCCATTTCCTACGTGGCAACTCCACAAGCTCTCTCACTTCTTTTAGTTAAAAAACCTTAGTTAACTAGAGTAATTACACAACATGTCATTGCTCAAAACATTATTATTTACATCATAATGTTTTAAATAACAATATGCATAACAATTAATAAATTACCTTAGCATATTCTACAGTTATGACTCACGAGATGATAAGTATTCGGTGTCAAAGATATATTGTACTACTTTTTTATTCAACATGCATATAGAACGATTTTGTTACATGTTTTTCTACATATTATTCAAAATATATATCGTTACATATAGGTGCCTATCATCTTTATAATATAAGTACAAATAAAAATCGTAAATGCTATCACCTTATTTCATAAGTCCGTATTGTCCACTGTCATATATTTAAATTATATACTATGTATTCCAAAAGACCAGCGTACAAAAGAATCATTATCAACCAATTTCATTATGTTTACTTAATTTGTTATATAATTTTTCACTGGTTATCACCTAGCGGAGAAGATGCATTTTAGGAACTTATATGTAACGATATATGAACAGAGTATGGCATCATGTTGAAAATACATGTGAAAAAATGATAATAATACAATTACAGAAAGTATTATTTGCAGCTTCATACAATTATTTCTGAGATCTTTAGAATTAAGAAAGTTATAAATATGAGACTAATAGGAATTAAATTAGTCAAACAAATTTTAGACACAAAATCAATTGTCTAATGCTCTCTTTTTATCTAAAAGTCAATCATTATCATAACATTTACATTTTGGCAAATTATTATCATAACATTTCCATCTAAATGAGATACGCTCTCAAATAACGCCTAAATTAGTGATTGCTTTGAATTTAACTTGATAGACAAGCACAACTCATTGTGAATATTCTCAAATATATGTCTCTTACACCTACATCTACAAAATACCTAACGATACTGATTAATTATTCCTCACCACGATATTTATGAATTACAGTAAATATGGTTAGTGTATATATGCATTGAACTTTTTGAATTTTTGATAATTGTTAAACATAGAAAATCAGTACACTATTTAGAGGTCATTTTCATTTCCAGTAACAACTGGCCAAACTTTTTCACCCATTCAACATCTCGATGTCTACTTTCACCGTGCCTTCAGAGCTCGAACCTTACAAGGTAATATGGGTGAAAGAAGGGTACTGGAAAGTAATCGAGATTTCTTCACTTAAACTTTCGAGAGGGGGATATCAAAAAAAAGAAAGATGAAAAGGAGCTCACTGATCTTCTAGATTGTACCCATATCCGTCTAAGTGATTTTTGGCCACGCCCAATCACAATTTCCACACAGTTTCTTTCCGGGAATTTTTGGAAGGTACGTACTGATTACTTGATTTTTCTCATGTTTGTAAATGAATATATGTTGCTATAATTTTTGATAACTATGACTAATATATTAAGAACTGATTCCATGTATTTTTATTGAAGACGTGGTAGGTCAAACATTTGGCCTTAGTTGGACATTTTTCCCCTCTTTGGAAATGTCATTGAAAATATAACATTGGAGTTACGGTATCAATAGTATATTTTGCTCATTTCTTAAATTGTAAATTATAGAAATAGTATCAAACTATATGGCTAATTTTTTCTATATTTGGTTACCTGCAGTGATGATCACCTCGCAGTACATATGTGGGGTAAATATAATGAGTTTGTTAACAATACTATACATGAAAAACAATTAAGGTGCCCTTGTGGTTCGTTAACCTGTTCAGTCAGTCCCCGGGTAATGCCTCTCAACTTCATAATTTAATAGTTTAACCTTGGTTTTGTGAAGTTAATTTTTTATGTCAAAATTAACTTAATTTGTTTATGATTCTTTTTTCCACACTTATATATATCAAGGAATCCATTGTTGTCCCAACTTTTGGAAATATAATGGTTGGGATAACCTATTCTTTGAAGATCAACATTGGAAAGCTAAATTTGATGTCCAAATTTGAAACTTTCCAAGTCCCGGAAACTGTACCAAGTTCAGATTTGTTAAATATCATAAATGTTCCCTGGCAGCCTATGGTATATATTCCTGTCATATCTGTGCAAGCGTTTATGTGTGCGATATTCATGTAAAAAATTATTATTTTCATATCCTTATTCGCAGGGTAATTCAAGCAGAGCTGTTCTAAATTTCAAAGGCCTTGGATCGAATGTTGTCAGCAACATACTGAAGCGGAAATTCTTTCTTATTCAGAGATACAAGGTTCATATATGATGTCAAGGGAAAAGCATGGAAAATAGTTAATTATTTTAAAAAGCTTCACATTCATCTGTGATCGTCAAGGTCCAGACTGGTATATTTTGCTACACGGTTATGTAGACCCTAGAGGGAAATGGTCGCTGTCTTTGCCTTGACATCATAATTATGGAACCTGCTATTTGTTTTATTCTGGCTGTTACGTTTTTATTGATTATAGTGTTTTCATAATATTTGAAACCATGTTTTCTTATTTGTGATTATACAATTTTAAGGGACGTAGTCTCTTTCCTAATAAAAGATACTTCTCAGTAGCTTATG